CGCCTGCCGTTGCCGCTCGCGCTCCGCCACTTCGGGCGCCGACGCGGCGTCCGGGTACGCCACGAAGTAGCGCTGGCCGCCGGAGCGACTGGTGTGGGTGCCGGACCCGTCGGAGCTCAGCTCGAGGTCTTGCGCGCTGGTGACGTCAGACGGGACGTCAGTAGCCCGTCTGACGTTACTGTCGACTGGCTGTCCGAGCTCGGCCGGCTCTGGAGTGTTCGGAGATGGTGGGCTCGCCGGCGCTCCGCGGGGTATGTGGGTTCTAGCAGAGCATTCCAACGCAATAGTCAAGAGCAAGAGCAGCAGCTGAAAGATCGAATAAACTATTGTCAGGCAATAACGTACAGAAACATGGTCACCAACAGCGCTTGCAGTCCAACGTACTGCGATGCCACGTCAGCCATCCTCTATGTACCAGAGGTGAACCCGAAAGATTATTGTCGTAACACAGAGCTACTAAATGCAGAGAAGGGAAAACGTAAATAATTTCAGCGGGTGACCAGTCCCGCACCACAAGCCCAGGAGGCCACATTCGGGACCTGCCTTGCAGCCTGGACCGGTTCACAGCGCGGTGAACTCCGCAGGGACAGTTGGTCAGCCTGTCAATGTTCTGCCGGCCGGAGCGGCCGCTCCCCGAGCGTGACGGGCTGTCTCAGCCGGGTCGACGAGCCCTTCACCCTCTGACACAGCAGAAACTTTCGCCGCCGGCCCCGTAGCGGCTACGTGTAACGCATCCGGGTACTGGGGCCGCGGCCGGGATCGCATGATGCCTGAATTGCACTGGTTGATGACAGCTTGGTTGAAAGAGCTTAACGCAACTTACCACTTGCTTGGTTATGTTATGCACCGGTGGTGAAAGCCAGCAAAGCACAACAGCCACATCGCATTACAGGATGTTCCGGCCTGAACGAACGGGGGAGGCACATCCAAAGGGAAGCCCGCATTGTCCGCGACCCGCAAGAACAACAGCAAGAACGCCAGCCACTGTTTCACGGTTTGCACAATATCCGCTCCTGTAACATCCCACGCCGCATCAGCAGGTGTTAAAACAACTTTAACTAACGCACAGCGGGGCCCGCACGTCTGGCGTTCCCCGGGCGACTCACCTGTGTTCGCCTGCGCGCGGAGCATGGCGCCGCTCCGACGGCTCGTCGCTCCGTCACTCCCAACCCGAGCTCCGATAGTTGCCGCTCCGAACGTTCCTAGCCTGAGCTCCGACAGCTCGCCGCCCCGTCACACCCCACCCGAGCTCGGACAGCTCGCCGATCCGACACTCCCGACCCGCGCTCCGACGGCCGGACTCCTCCGCCGGGCGCCGGAGTCACCTCAGATATAGGTCAGCCGGCGAGTCCGCCCCCGCCCCCGTGCAACTCCGAACAATGTCGGCGGGGCCGGCTTTCTCGCTCGGTTTGCGCCGCAGCCGGAACCGGTCACCGGAAGCTGCCCGGGTCGCCGCCGCGGCCCGCGTCCAGCCACCGACATCGCTCACGTTACGGGGCGCGGAAACCGACGCTGTGGCAGAAGAAACCGGACCGGGAACAGGAGGGCAAACGCGCTCTCCGGTGTGTGTCCGGTGTTGGGCAACTCTCCACTATGGGGTCGATGGTGTCATACGTCGGAGAAGGGAGAGAGGGAGTAGTGAGGGGGGGGGGGGGGGTGAGGCGCGGGGAAGCGATGAGGTGCAGAGGAGCGGTGAAGCACTGGAGAGCGGCCAGGCGCAGTGGAGCAGAGGCCCGGGGGAGCGAGCGATGAAGCAGTGAGGTGAAGGAGGGGGCGGGGGAGCGGTGAGAACGGGGAGGCAGGGGAAGCGGTGAGGGCGTGAGGGGCGGTGAGCCGCGGGAAGCGATGGGGCGAGGGAGGGGGGGGGGGGGGGGCAAGTGAAACACGCCGGGGGCGGTAATGAGGGGTGGAGGGTGCGATGAGGCGCGGGGAAGGAAGTAGTGAGGTGAGGGGAGCGGTGAGGCGGGAGGTGAGGTGAAGTCGGGGGGGGGGGGGGGGGAGTATGTTTTAATGCGCGATGAGCGTACAAAGCCGTGACGACTCACTTCTCGTAACGGGACACGATTATGTTTGTCACATGAATGCAGACAATGGTTCGTATCGAATCCACAGCCCGGAGCGAGCAATTTTACAGTATCGCCGCGGAACCCAGGTTAAAGCCAGGTTTAACCGCAGCGAGAAAAGAGAAACAAAACTAGAAAAGTGCGATTTCAAGGCGTAAGTACATACCATGTCAGATATCTGCTCAACGCCAAGCCGCACGATCCAACACGCTCTCATTTGTCTAAATTTTGTGACGATCTTTGACACCAGCCTCAATGTTCTGAATGTTTCGTGAGAAAGCACCCAAAACAGGTTCGAGAGGTGATGGTCATCGCAGCATCCCGGCATCTCAGTTATGCCACTCTACTCCAGTGGTACTTCAAGACCGCCCCGGCCCTTCAGCAATATGTCATCTCGCTCCGCCGACAAAAACAGGAACACAAATGGAAATATATTTATTCTTGGCACATAAGCTGCCCACTCCTCGACACAATATGCTTGCTACAAAAACACTCATGTTGCCCAACAAATGACATATACACACAATCGGTCCCTCTCAAGAGGTACCCTGAAAGCTCAGAATCCCTGATTGCGGCGCCCCCTGCCTCCAAAGCCGCCGCCGCCGCCTCCGAAGCCGCCGCCGCCTCCGAAGCCGCCGCCGCCGCCTCCAAAGCCGCCGCCTCCGAAGCCGCCGCCGCCGCCTCCGAAGCCGCCGGGCCGGCCGCGGCCGCCGCGTCCCCGCCGCTCGCCGTCGCCGCCCTCGGCCGCGCGCCGCTCCTTCATCCGGCTGAACCGCTCGGACATCTCGACCAACCAGTCGGGCACCTCCTGCCGGCGGCGGCGCGGTCAGCGGGGCACACCCACCGTGTCGAGCCTCGGGTCAGGAGGCTCACGGGGATCGGCGCTCGGTGGGGCGTGGGGTCCAGGCGAGAGCTCAGACGCTACCGTCGCAGTCGCAAGTATTGGCAGTGTCTAGTCAGTCTTAGGCCTTTTCTCGCGTAAATTACAATTGTGACACCTTCCCTGTGCCGGGTGCCACCTGGTACAAGGTGTGCTTAACGTGACATGATAACGCTCCGCGATGGTGAGACAGACTTGAGAACACGGGGATAGGAGCAGATTTTAAGCTCGCGTAGATGACGTGTTGAGGGGAGTATCTTTGGGCCATATTTCAAAAATACACTCTAGAGAGGCTTTAGGACTAGTTACGTCTAATAACAGTAAGTGACAATAGTAATAGCAAGTGATAATATACTAGTAATAGTGAGTGATAATGTACTAGTAATAGTAAGTGATAATAGAGACTTCAGGACTAGTTGCGTCTGATAATAGCAAGTGGGCGGTGCCACCGCAGCACCGTCAATATATAACAATAATATCCATTTCAATTGTTTTCAAGTCCAAATTACGCTGTCAGCGCCCTGTAACAGCACCACACTTCTTTCCAGCACCCGCAACAAACGTCGTCATGACAACGACCGGGCGCACTCCTACTTGCAACGAAAACCGGACGTTCATGACTGGCTCAGCAGGCGTAACTATACCGACGGACATGTCGCTTGTCAAAAGCGGAAAGCGGCATTATCTAACTTAACGACTTGAAAACACTTAAACATACGACTTGAGCGCCATTTGCAATAGCATGTGAGCATAACGTAAGTCTGTCGTCCTGCCTTCCACGCCCAACATCATATATGGACGGCTTCTTCCGTTTTGTTCCCCGCCGCTGATCCAGAGGTCCCCAACCGAACCCTCGGCGGGGATGTAGCTCAGTGGTAGAGCGCTCGCTTCGCATGTGAGAGGCCCCGGGTTCAAACCCCGGCATCTCCAAGCCGACAGTTTTAACACTTAAAAAACAAAAACACTAAACATGAAAACACAAGAATACAGCAGATAACACGCTCCAAAGCAAAATCTCCATGGGGCGATAGGGCGGATGGGAGGCACTCGCAGAGCTGGGGAGCGCGGCCGGTCGTAAGACTCTCAATGCCGCCAACAGCACAATCATTCCGCACATCATTGCAGAAGGCCAATGATGTCTAACATTAAGCAACACAACAAGTGGGTGATGAATGGATGACAACCTAAACTTCACCCCCGTCCTTTTGAGGACGTCACTTCCTGGAGGGGGGGGGGACGTATCTTTAGTTTGGGTGAGGGCGAGATTTTCCTAGGGACCTCCTGGATAAAATATCCTCCTGCTGAATGTTAAAAAAAATGCAGGGTGCCTACTCACAGAGGGGCCTCCTACGAAGTATTGTATTCAATAGGATGGGACACCAAGAGTATGTGCCACCTTATCAACCTGCCACATATCCCAGTAAATAAACGACGACAGTAAAAGGAAGACAGTGAACCTTCTGATTACCAAGCAAAGGATCTCCCCAGCCAAAACACTTCCTGTTGCAGAAATAGGCCTCCCAATGCATAGAGAATCTCAAGTATCCAAAACAAAATGTTTCCGATTCACGAAGGGGCCTCGAAATCAAGCCATAAGGGCTCGATATTCTAAAACAGAGCATCCTGACCCGGTGCCGCAGCCATCTGATGCCTGAAAGCGGCCTTCTGTTCCAAAACGGGGCCTCCAGAATATAGAGGATGTCTTCCAATCCAGAACAGGGGCCGTCTAACTTGTAACGGGACCTCCTTAAAGGGAGTGTTCCGCATTTAGGGGTTTGTACTGAAATAGCCATCTTAAAGACATTTCGGTGCTGTTCACAATCCTGCCCTTCTTAAGACATAAGCCCCTCTAGTTTCTGAAGTACGCGCCACCGAAAATGGGGAAAGGTATATCGGGGTGAGTATTTCAGTCGCCTTGGCATTCATGATGTCATAATAACGTCATTCAAATCCTGTCATTCCATAACTCACGCGGCGATCAACGCCAATAAAAATATAATTGTCAAAGCGTTCATATCTGGCGTTCCCGGGCGCGATTTCCAGATATAACGGCCATCAATTACCTCTCAATCAATGTTGTGCAAGTTACGATGACTACAGGGGACTGTGCTGTCTAGAGAAGTATTTCCCAGTTAAAAAGTATGCCACTAGTTATAAGCAAGTTTGTTTCATCATATCTGATGCTTGCTTCCATCTCCTCAAATGGGAAACATTCCCTTCAACGCAACACTGGGCATATTGATCTAGAACACTGGCTACCGTATTCATAAAGGTTAGCTCATGATCCATAAAAAGGGTCTCTTGACATAGCAACGGGCCTTCTGAGCCCGGCATGTACTCTCTAGCTCAGTGCTGGTGGCCTGCTTAATCTTAATTTTAGTACTCTAAGAGTAGCTACGTTATAATGCCCTTAGTTTGGTAAAAGGGACCTCATCCATTTTTTTGTGTGGAGGGGGGGGGGGCATCGTCTTTCCCCCTGCCTACTGGCAAAGGGGGAAGGTTAACTGCGCTCTTTGCCCCCATCCCCAACCCTGCTGTGCCGCCGCTGGCTATTCCACCCATCTCCCTTGGGCGCTATGCCATCTACCCCCGGGCGCTTACCCCCGCTATTAGTTACAGCATGGCCATACGCGGCGGCGATTTTGACAACCACATGTGGCTCCTGGAGCCTTGCAGGGATGTATCTAAGTGGTGGAGGGCTCGCTTTGCGTGGGGCCCCGGGTTCACACCCCGGCATCTTCAGGTGACCGCTTTTGGCCCGCCGAGCATGATGAACGAAAGAACCAAGCCAGCTGCAAACCTGCGATCAGAACAATGTTCATGGACCGCCACCAGCACGGCTGTCGATTTTAACTTGTTGTGAGAGCTCAGACGCTACCGACGCGGTCGTAAGTATCGGCAATGCCTAGTCAGTTCTAGGCCATTTTTCGCATAACTTAAATTAAGCGACAATTTCTCTCCGCCCGCTGTAGGACAAACTTTAGAATGCCAGTATAGGAGTCCCGTCTTAAACTCGTGTGGATGGCGTGTTAATGGGAGCATTGGGGCGTATTTAAGAAAACAGTTAAGTGAAACCTCAGGCCTAGTTACACCTTGTAATGGTACTAGGTACTGTCACTGCAGCACCGTCAAGACATAGCAAGCCCAAATTACACTGTCAACGCTGTGTAAAAGCACTACGCTTCTTTCCAGTAGTCGCGACCGTCGTCGGCGTGACAACGGCCGTGCGCACCTCTACTGGCGCGAATAAAAGAACGTTTGTGATTGGTCCAGCAAGCAAGGACTTATTACCAAGACGTCGGTTGACCGAAGTTTGAAACTAAGCGTCACATGGATCACGTGATACACGCATTCCCAAACACAAAGTGCGCCTCGAGAAGTCAGTGTGGTGAACGCCATAGGGGGAAAAAGCAAAGCCGTAGTATAACGTTTCGTTGAATTCGCGGGATAATAGCTTCATACTCGCATACGTAATAATGCATCAGATATTGTACGCTATTTAAATGTGTTTATTTATTATTTTATGACACATTTTATGTGGCTGTTCTTGTGTCTCTTGATACAGGCAGATCGGAGGCATGGCCTAATGCCGACCACGTTTTGTGTCGCTGCCCTTGTGTCTCTTGATACAGGCAAGTCAGAGGCATGGCCTAATGCCGACCCCGATGCCGAGACACCCGCACATGCTCTTTTTTTGCCGCTCACCACCGGCCTGAGTAGTTTCTAAGAAGCATCCGTTTCTGGCAGCCCCATCTGGTCAGCTAGCTTGGGGATGTAGCTCAGTGGTAGAGCGCTCGCTTCGCATGTGAGAAGCCCCGGGTTCAAACCCCGGCATCTCCAATCAGAGCTTTTAAATGTCATGACTGGCCAACACGAGCAGCTTTCAGGTGCGCAACGTCGGTGGAAACAAATAAACTCTGCTTGGAGAGAGGTTTGGCGGCTGAACACGGAATTTGTGCGATCTTTTGAATGGTAACAAGAACCTGGTTGTCATGAAATTCAATGACGGGGAGTGTCTAGTTAGGTGTAGGTCCTTCAGTCCAACACCCCTTCTAGTTGGGTGTTGGACTGAAGGAGACATCTGAAGGAGACACAAGAAGACCATTGGGTGCAGTCCACAATCCTGATCTCTGAAGAACAGAACCCTTCTAGTTTCTGAGCTACACGGCGACGCAGATGTGCAGACTTTTCCGACGGGACTATTTCAAAGTCACCCAGGTATCCATGACGGCATAATAATGTCATTCAAATGCTGTTATTTCATTGGCCATGCGGCGATCGAGGCCCAGAAAAATATAATTGTCGATTCGTTCATATCTGATTGTGAGCATGATTCCCAGACAAAACGGCCTTCAGTTTGCTCTCAATCAATGTTGTGCAGGGTACGAGAAACCAATTTGACAGTGACGTGTTGAAGGGCATATTTACGAAACAAAGAAGATGTGTACAGCGGCCCTTTCCACTGACAGCGTACCGATAGTTATAAGTCACGTCATGTCACGTATCCGATGTATGATATATATCTGGCGCTTGCTTCAGTATCTTCAAATGTGGAATATTCCCATTGAGCAGAATTATGTCGTGATGACAGGCTAATTTTTTCATTGTTCCAGGCTGCACGCGGTTATCCTGAGCAACTTCGCGGAACGGCATCCGTAGCTTTGCTGATGGCCCTAAGCATGGGCATGTCCTCTGATCGCGACTTCCCAGTTATTTTAATTCTGGCGTCCATCATGCTTGGCTGGTCAAAAGCCCTGTTGGAGATGCCGGGGTTTGAACCCGGGGCCTCTCACATGCAAAGCGAGCGCTCTACCACTGAGCTACACCCCCGCGAGGAATGGCCTTCCGCATGTGATATTACAAAATTGCTCCCGCCTATGCCATGCCGACTATTGGCGGGCGTTGAGTACAGCATAATCGCCCCAGCG